ATTATTTTTGAATACCAGTGATTATTTTTTTGAAGATAGTAGGAAGTTATATTATTAATCAGTTGCTAGGTGACAATAAGTCATTTTTTTTTTAAATCCGTTTTCATTTGACGGTAAAATAATAATGACCATTTAGTTGGTATTTTTTTTTGAAGAACAAAAAAAAAATAATACTCCAGTTTCAAATTGTCCAATGCTCTTTTTTTTCCTCATTTGTGCGCAAAATATTCCTTATTGTGAGCGTAAAAGAGTGAGATTTTTTTTCAAATTTATTGTCTTTCTTCACAAATTCCATGCGTTTTTTCAGCTATCAATTTTTTTAAAGAATATAATATTACTTGGTTTTGAGGCTGACACAGAGCAAACCAGAATTTTTTTTTGGAGTATTGCCAGCTTTCATGTCCGAGCAGAAAACTGGTTTCAAGTTTTTTTTTTAATTGCACAAATCGGTGTGTGACCTACATTATCTGAAAGAACAAATCTTATTTTTTTAAAAAGGCAAAGTTTGGTGGAAATCGTGTCAATATTTCAAAAATTATAGCTTTTTTTAAACTCTCTTATTCAAGTGTACATCGTTCTATAGATTGTGGGGAATTAAGCTTCAAGTTCTTAGATAGTCATCTGAATTAAACAAAACTTGGAAATATTATCAATTTTTTTTTTCTCTTTGAGATGATCTGGTAACTTGGCGATTTTTGCAATTTTAAAACTCAAACCCAGCCTCCTGCTTGGACATGAAAGCTGGCAATAGATTTAGAGTGTGATGCCAATTTTTTTTTCCACTCAGTAGATCTAAGCACACAAACATATAAAAAAATAATTTTTCATTTTTTTAATGGAATTGGAAATATTTACAAGGTCATGATTTGGGATCAGGGATCAGAATTTTAGCTTTGGGATCAGGATCACTGTTCTACTGGGATCGGGATCGGGGGTCAGCTTTTTTTTAATTCAAGGCATCACTAAATTTTGATTGATCAGGGATTAAATTTGAAGTCTTTTTTTAAGCTATTTGTTAAATTTGAAATTAAATTTGGGATCAGGGAGGACAATTTTTTTTTTAAAAGTGGGATCACCAAAATAAACTAACCTGTGTTAATTCGTGTAGTTAGTTTTTTTATATATTGATGCGATCTAGCCAGGTTACTCCATGGAATGAAAACTGTAGGAAAAAATACATTTAGCAATGATTGTACAAAGTATAGATTTTGCACATTATACTTTGTTTTTTTTTTGCTAAATGTATTTTTTCCTACAGTTTTCATAGTGCATTTAAAATATTTTTTTTTTGTATTTGTCAATATCTTGAATTTTCACATTTTGAGCACTTTTCATGGGTCTTTTTTTGTTTGATTAATAAAACGAGAAAAAAAAATAGTGATTATATCATAATTAGGAAATTACATATTGGGAAATTGGGAAAAAATTCATTCATAATTCAGATCTGTCTTTTGTTTTTTTTATAGAGGCAAATTACAGCCTTTTGTTAAAATAAATTGTGGAAATTTCAATTTTTTTTACATTACATCATAGTGACTATACTCAAAACTCTAATATTATATGGAATTTTTTTTTTATCTAACGAAGGAGGCTGTTATTTGAACATATAGTCAATTTTGGGTGTATTTTTTTTAGATAAAAGCTAAATAATTTTGCTAATRATATGTAATTCAGATATCATTTTTTTTTATTATAAAAAAAAATATTCAGAAGAGTACGTTTTATGTATAGTATAAAGTTTTTTTTAACCGTTCTATTGCAGTGACTGTTCACTGCAATCGGTTGACTCCTGCATTTTTTTTTGATCAGGTTTCAAACCTGAGACCTTTGCTAGGGTCATGGACCTTTATATCTTTTTTTGTCACCCTTATTAGTATTCTGAATATAAAGAAGTGTTTTATCAGATATAATTTTTTTTGCATGTGACCAAATAGGCTCATCCTATTGGCCTAGTAGTCATTAATAATTTTTTTTTTTTTGAAAGATCTTGTTGACTTTTTCTGAGTTTTTGCCAAGACATGATGTATATATTATCATTTCATTAACCTTTGTATTTTATAATTATATTTTGATTATCAAAATTTTTTTCTTTGCTCACATCTGATACTGTAATATAATATATGTAGGGAAAATCTGAATTTTTTTAATAAAATTTGCACGAACTAACGATGTCATTTTAAGTGGTTATTCTCTATTTTTTTTGGAGGGGGGGCGGTTGCGGTTCTTGATAATTCACCAAACACCCTACCCTCTTTTTTTACAAAAATGAATTTGCACCTGTTGGGGAGGGGGTTGAGGTGTAAGCGGATTTTTTTTTCTTGCTATAGGTGATCAATTTAATTGCATCATTTTACTAATCCTACCCGTTTTTTTTGTGTATTATCTTTGTTATTCAGATTTTTAATTTCTTGGAAGATTAGTAATTTTTTTGGGCCTTTACACATGTATTACAATACAAAAGAAAGTGGTCAAAGCATTCTTTTTTTTGTAGTATGTGATGTCATCTTGCAAATTGCCTATTAAGGGATAGCTGGACATTTTTTTGGGGGGGGGGGGGGGGGGGGGGGGGTGTGCCACTGGGACCTAAAAACCCTTTTTTTTTTCCAGATTGAAATCGCTGAAAACTACCCTGTTCCAGAGTAAAATCGCTGTTTTTTTTATCCTGTTCCAGAGAAAATCCAGCACTAGCCTGCTTGTAGGCCGAATATTTTTTTTGTGAATTTGTATCCAGCATCAATAATTCCGGAATCAAACCCTGACTCTGTTTTTTTTTAAAATCGCTAAACCATAGACCTAATTGGCTAATATGCTGCTATAAACGTTTTTTTTCAATTCAAACCACCCGGGAGTAAGTTTTATGTTCCAGAGTAAAATCGCTAAACCATAGACCTAATTGGCTAATATGCTGCTATAAACGTTTCCACCCAATTCAAACCACCCGGGAGTAAGTTTTATTGTTCGTTGTATTTTCATTTTCCCACAGAATTTGAATTGGGTGGTTACATACATGGCAACGCGTAAGCCGATTAAGTTTTTTTTTTGTTTTCAACCATTCCCATGAGATTAATAAAGACTATGTGTGTTATAGTTTTTTTTTGTAACCATTGAGGATTGTTCCCAGATCTTGTTATGGGGATCAGTCTCACTTTTTTTGCAAGAGGAGACTACAGCCATGTTGGTTGTATGAACAATAGATTATCATTTTTTTTTGAGAAATTATTTTTTTAAGTTCAACCAAGATGACTGCTCTAACATGTTATTTTTTTTATCATGGTAATTCCACATTCTTTATTACAAACATTTACAAGTAACAAGATTTTTTTTTACCGATCAATTAATTATACTTTAAAATTTACTAATGTTAGATTAGTATGTTTTTTTTGCATTGCTTAATAAAGTTGTCAATAATTTTCACACAAATATATTATGAATTTTTTTATGCCACTAATACCACAAACCAATTGCCCTATTTCATTATGACGTCACAGTTTTTTTACATCGGAAACCGATGCACAAAAACAGTGGAAATTTGGACCCATTTATATTGTCTACTAAGTAGAACTTCAGTGCATCGTGTTTTGATATATATCATGTATAAATGATTGCTCATGTACATTTTATTTGATATGCAGTCACTCTGATCCCTTCTGGCGACCATAATCCTTAGCGTTAAAACAATAGAATGTTTTGATGTGACGTCATAATGAACTAGGGCATTTTTTTCATTAAACCACTTTTAGTACCAAACTAAATACTTAGATTTTGTACAGTTGTTTTTTTGCTTTAAGTGCGATCACTCTACCAGAGCTACAACAGTACAAAGCTTACGTTTTTTTTTAGAAACAACTCCATGGAGCACTAAGAAACTGTGCTAGATTCTGGAACCCTTTTTTTTTATATTTTTCTTGTTATAAATCAATAGCATTTCAGATAGCCTCCCTCTTATTTCCTGCACTGGGCTTCCCTTTTCATGTTGACAATAAGGGACTAGTAAATAGAAATTTTTTTAAGATAGTAGCCCCATGACTTCTAGTATTGTACGTTATAATTATATAGTTTTTTTTTGATGGCTGCTGTATATTCAATTTATCGAAACTACTGGCGCTAGAAATACATTTTTTTAGAACTGTTTTGATTCTAAAATCGATTCTAAAAATACCAGCAGTCTATTCTTTTTTTGGGCTTCCTCAGAGTAAGGAAACTGAATMTGAAAATTGCTAATAGTTTTCTTTTTTTATTGTTGTCCATGTTAGTGGTTATTTGACAAATAATCATTTTTCATTATGTTTTTTTATGTCACTAACATGTCAACTGGTCCTCTGAACGATGAATCTCAAGGAACTTTTTTTTGATAGCAATCTAAAGCTTTGAAATGTCTCACTTTGGACTTCATTATATCATTTTTTTTCAAAATAAACCAGCAACCCATAGACAATTTCTAAAATACAAAATCAAGGTTTTTTTTGGTCTAGCTTCAGCACAAACGCCATATTTGGCAGTATGAACAATTATGTTTTTTTTACCGAATCTAGACCACAATGCAGTGGAAACTTCTATCTCAGCAACGGCCTTTTTTTTTATTGATTGCTTTATATAATCAGGCCCCAGAGAAAATAGCTTTACAATAATTTTTTTAGAGAATGGTTTGGAATATRGCATGCTAAAAGCACTCTGAACAAAGATGATTTTTTTAATCTATCTAATAGTAGCACATATATTTTTGACTTTATACATGTATAACATTTTTTTCCACCAGATAATTCAGGAAAAAGAGTATATATATAATTTTTATTTGCTCATTTTTTTATTACACAAAGTGGAATATGTTTGCTCAATTTTTTTCTTCTTCTTTTTTCTTTTTTTTTTTTTTGCTTGCTATTTTTTGGAGATTTTCATAACTACTAAATTATCTATTTTTTTGATCCCACCAGAGCTTTATTTTAGACTAT